ATTAAAGTAGACATACCGAATTCCAGCACTTGTATCAATGACTTTTCCTTCATAAATAATCTCAATGCTTGGGCCTCTTGACTATTTTTTCTTCTTTTCTGGTTGAGTCTCAGCTTGAGCTTGCCTGTATGTATTGCCTGAGATATCCAGAGAAAAAACTAGCAGGAGCAACTTATGGGAGCAACTTGTGATTTTACTTGTTGACTTCCTGATTGATTTTACTTATGGGAAGCCAGCATGGAAGATTGCAAACAGAGATCACATAACCAGAGGATGCTGCAAACATCGTAAGTGTAAGCCAGTTGCCAAGTGACTAAATTGTGACATCACCAAATACTGCTCGTTCAGCCCTGTCATTTACCTCAAAGAGTCATAGCCTGAGGACTACCAATATAGTATACATTCTTTGAATATGCTAATTATAAGTTTAGTAACCAGTAAGTAGTAAAATATAGTATGCAATTTTTTGTATATGCAATGAATAAACAATATTGTTTGATTAAATTAATACACAGCAATCTCTTACAAGCTCCTGCAATGCATCCGGAAACTCAGCTCATTGTGAAAAGTCACATCAAAAATATATTTTCTTTCCATTCTCCTAGATTCCCAGGGGTCCACTAAGACTCAACCATTGAAGCTAATATCTGTTGGCAAAGTATTTTCAAACCACTACAGGTGAAACTAACAAAGAGGTCATAGGTTGAGAAAAACAGAGAAAAATACAACTCAAAATGCAAAATACTCTATTGACTTTTGAAAAACAAGACAAAGGTTAATTGGCATACATTTCTCATATCATAATTAACAATTTATTTACAGACACTGAAACAAGATTAAGATAATTATCCTGAAACAGAAATGCAATGACAAATTACTGGGTGTTTTTTTTATACTGCAATTGATCTCTTACACATTAAAATAATCAACATGCTTTAAGCAGAAGGTTCATCTGTTCCATTTTAGACTGAATTCTTTAGAATATAGATTTTGAAATGCCATATGGGAAACCCACAAAGCCAAAATGATAGCAATGCAGAAAGTGGGCTGACTGGCTCTAGAATATTTTAATAGGCAACACACTCTCAGTTGGATTAGTACTCCATGCATTTGAAGTATGATTTAAAAAAAAAAACACTTACTATACTTCACTGGTATTTAAAAAAGGAAATATGGAATATCTTTCATTGTCACAACAGATCACTTTCATTTAGCTCAGGCATTCTTATAGTCAGGGGTGGACTTCAAATATTTTAGCAAGTGGTTCTCTCCCCAGTTGCTGGGTGGCGTGGCCATGGTGGGTGTGGCCTAGTTGGCCTCCTGCACCGCAGCAGGGGGGGTGTTTTTGCCCTCCCCAGGCTCTGGAAGTTGGCCCCTTTTTCGCCCTTCCCGAGCCTACGCGAGTGCCCTGCACTTACCTGCATCCAAAATGGGCCGTGTGGGGATTCCTGGAAGGGGCGGGGTGGGATGGGCTGGGCCGCCAGGAGTAGGATTTGGGAGGTTCTCCAAACTGCACAGAATCTTAGCTAGAGGTTCTCCTGAATCCTGCAAACCCCCAGCAGCCCACCCCTGCTTATAGTCTACTTGAGTGCAAGCCACAGCAGGTGTCATCATTGTTCAGACCTCACTTCTATAGAAAAGCTAAACAATTCTAAATCTGGTGAATACTGAATGAGATACAACCATGATTATGAAATCATTAGATATCAAGTTTGACTCATGGCATCATTTTATGTGAATACAGTCAGTGGTAGATTGAACAGTCTGAATTCTTGGCTTGTATATTATTCTTAAGTCCCCTTGCGTAGATCTCTCTCTGATTACTGGAAAGCTGACAACAAAACTGACTCCCTTTTCTAAGATGGAGAATGCATGAGAACCCCTGTTCAGCATAAACCTAATATAAACATTTCTCATTTAAAAAAAAAAACAGGCTGTAAAACAGATGATGGGAGATTTGTAGAATAAGACATGTAAAGTTATGTTAATGTAGTTTTACAATAAAGTAGAATTAAATCATCAATTAAATCATCTGGTCAGGTCAGGCTGACACATCTACATACATTTTACGTTGGGTATGTTCACTGCCTTGCGTTATTTGTAAAAATAATAAAGGCAGGATATGAACAAGGAAACAAATTCTGCCCCACTTAACTTGAGTGCCTTGACCATGGCAAGGTACTCCTTCTCAGCTCTATTTTAATTTAAGATATATTCAAAACTGGTATGTGATTGATATTCTCTAATTAATTGAATCTCAAGACCAGATCCCAGTCCCTGGGTCTCAAAATCTACTGTACTAGGTTCCCTATAACACAGAGAATAAGAAAATAAAGTTTGATTTCAAGGTATCTTTCCTTTGTAATTGAGTGGGTGCCATCTTGATGCAAGACAAAAATATTTGATACTTATGTAGGTTGGTGACTTGAGCTTTTGGACAATTATTTTCTACGCTTCAGAAAAAAGCATTGTAGAGTTTACAATGCTCAGCCTTCTAAAACAAATGAATCAAAGTAAAATTTTCTAAAAGTTCATAACTGGACTCGGTTTTCCATCCTTCCGAGGTTGGTAAAATGATAAACCAGATTGTTGGGATCAAAATACTTGCTCTGTAATATATACGCTTACATAGTGTAAAACACTATGGAGTGGTATATAAATCAAAGTGCTATTGCTAACTTGCCATTGGCATAAATGAGTTTTAAAAATTAGTTAAAATGAGTTTTTAAAAAGTGTTGCCTTTTAATGATGTCACAGATATTGTCCAAAATTTGCTAATATACTATATTCCTTTCATTATACTATGCTCTGCAATGACCTCATTATGAAAATTCAAGTGCTACAGTGCTACTCCATGAATATTAAAAGTATTCTTTTATTTTTTGTTGAAAGTAAACTTCTAAAGTGTTTCAGTTTCACCCCAAATTCCATTTGATGTCCTCTTCAGCATATACTGCAAATGCTTGAAAGATTGTGTAGGGGGAGAAAAAGCAAACACTAAGTTTTTATGTGATTTTCCCAGCGTTCTTACTGCTAGTAGTTCAGCTTTGCTTTCTTCTGCTGTCAGCTTCATGACAGCAACACTCACCATTAACAGCACAAGAGAGACTACAAAAAAAAAAAACCTATAAGAAACTGAAGGATCTGACAACTAGAAACAGAAAACCTAAATGGGGAATCATGTAGAACCAAACAGGGAGGGGAATGGAATCCACATGTGACACACTATGAAACAAGTTCAGCATACTAACTTCTATTTGATATGCAGACTAGATTTAAAGAGAAGGGGAAACACGTATGTTTTCTCTAACAGATACTTATTGGCATACAAAAGCATCATGTAGGCATTCAAAGAGATATTTATACACCCCAACACTCACATTATAAACATACATTATTTAGAGCAGTGACTCTTAACATGTGTCTGGGAATCCATGTGATTCCCGAGACCCATTCAAGGTCCACAAAATCAAAAAAATAAATATTGTACATTTTCATCAGTTTTAAGTAAATATCGATAGATATAATCCACCTAAACCAAAGCTCTGGAATGATCCTCAATCATTTTTAAGACTGTACAGTGAAAATGGTCTGAGATCAAAATATTTGAGGACCATTGATTTAGAGAACATTCCTGAAATACACATCATAGGATGTAGAGGAAGTCCAGCTCTTAATACATGCAGGGTTTTAAGGAAACCCTTGGTACATCAGGGCATAACAATAAAGTTTGCAATAAAGACTATAAAACATAAGTCTTAGTTTGGCCAGAAATAATTGACAAATTAGAGCATTTGGTTTTATTATTCACCTATTAACGGTGATGGTGCAGTGGTTAGAATGCAGTATTGCAGGCTAAATCTACAATATAGCCAGGAGTTCGATCCTGACCGGCTCAAGGTTAACTCAGTCTTCCATTCTTCCGAAGTGGGTAAAATGAGGACCCACATTGTTGGGAGCAATGTGCTGACTCTGTAAACTGCTTAGAGAGGGCTGTAAAGCACTATGAAATGATATATAAATCTAAGTGCTATTGCTATTACAATTATTTATCAGAATTAAACTCACCAACTTAATAAGAAAATTGTCTATGTGATTATATTTCGATAGTTCTTTTTAAAATCTTCCCTGAAGAGTCCCTACCAAGGAACCACTACATTCTGAAATGTATGCTTAGTGCCTTTGCTTTAGATTTACTTAAAAAGATTATCACTATGCTAGTGATGTTCTACAAGTGGCAATATTTTGAAAGAGCTGTGTCAACTTGAAACCCTCTAGTGGTAATGTTACCAGTTAATATGGGAAATGACATGAGATTTTGAAAAGAAATGAACAAAGCTCTGTTTAAAATTCAAAATTCATATAATTGGTATTTATTACAGACCATTGCAGGTAGACCATTTGGCTACTATGAACATTATAATTCTTATTAAAATATTTTTTAAAAAGCAAAACCAATCTAATTAACTCCCCTGATTTAAATTGCTTATATTTAAACTTATTAACAACTAGTTGATATGTTAATGAAGATCACCCACAGCTTCAAAATAAATATAATGCTTCTTCTTAAATAGTTGGGAGTATTTTGTGAACAGGTATGCTGGGACCTGATTACTGGTCCCAGCATTACTGATGATAGAAGTTGTAGTTCAGTTTCAAGATTTTTTTTACACTTGTAGAAAGTTGATCTACAAATGACCTTCAGGAACTAGAAATATCATTTTTATCCACATCTAAATTATTTCTGTAAATAATGTGTTTGGATATGCGCCTTTGAAACAAGGCCACAAGTTCTAATTCTTAAAATATTGCAGAATATATGTGAAATTACAGTAAATGTAGCATGTAACATGAAATTAAATTTCAGACTGGAGAGAGACACCTGCAGTATACATTGTGAACAAAGCTATCTTTAAAGCTTCCTTTGATAGAATACACCAACATTATTAATTCAAAAATCATTGCAACCCTCCTTGACATGTCAAAGACAAAACTCTTACCGTTTCCTTTGAAATTTGTGACTGGCTTTGTTCAGTATTCTAAAAGAAGTGGGAAAAAATGAAATAAGAACAAGGCTGGAAAAGGCATTTGCTTCAAAGGACAAGTAAGCATCCTGATAACCAAAATCATTCATAGCTGTTAATACTAATAAGAAATATTTCACCAACCGGTGATACTAATAAATTCTAGTTAAAAGCTAGTTTAAAAATTCCAAAATTACTGATTAAACAGCCATGGGGGCCCCAGCACAGGAAGCTGTTTTTAAAAGATAGTAATAAGAACATTGTAGCATTTCTTCCATCTTCTTCCCTTAGACTGAATAAGGAACAATAGTTGAAAACCCTATACTTAACTCATACAGTCTACTAATACACACACACACACACACACACACACACACACACACAGTGATTTTAATGGATGCAGGTAGACATAAGAGACAACTATTATGTAATACAGGTAGTCCACCACTTACCACAAGAATTGAGGCCAAAATTTCTGTTTTTAAGCAAGACAGTTGTTAAGTGAGTTTTGTTCCATTTTATGACCTTTCTTGCCACTTAAGTGAATCACTACAGTTGTTAAGTTAGTAACACATTTGTTAAGTGAGTGTAGCTGTTTTGCTGTCTTTGTATGTCAGAAGGTAGAAAAGTTGATTACATGACCCCAGGATATTGCAACGGTCATAAATACGTTGTTCCTCCAAAAAGAAGGCCGGGTCTTATTTTCTTTTGACCTGCAAAAAAACAGCCTGGCCTTCTTTTTTGAGGGTTCTAATTATTGACTCACCTCACGGCGGTAGCACCTACAGTCCCACCCAGGAGCCCGCTGCGGCCCACTTCTTCTGCGGCCGCTTGCCGCCACTCGCACGCATCCTCCAGCCTCCATTTTACCTTCAGATGTCTGCCAGAAGGCATCTGTAGCCGATATTAGAGCTCTGGATTGATTATAGGCTGCAGATGTCTTCCAGCAGGCATCTGAAGGCAAAATGGAGACCAGGGCGATGCGTGTGGCAGAAAGTGGCCGCAGAAGAAGCAGTCGCAGAAGAATGCGAGGCAGGTGTTGGGGTGTGCGAGGCCTGGTAAGGAGAACAGCTTCACCCCCCATCTCCACCCTAGCTTATTTTTTATCTGTGTGCCTCGCTGAACCTCCTACACCCCAGAGTGGGTGGGGTCTTAATTAGGGCTAATTTTGTGGATGGGGTTTAATTTGATCACATGCGCTCAAAAATGTGATAGGGGTTATTTTCAAAATAAGTCGTCTTTTTGGAGAAACACGGTACTTGTTGGTTAACAAGCATCTGAGATTTGATCATGTGATTTGAGGATGCTGCAACAGTCATAACGGTAAAAAAGTCACTTTTACTAATGCTGTTATAACTTTGAATGGTCACTAAATGAATGGTTGTAAGTTGAGGATTATCTATATGGTCTTATCAAACAAATCTCCAAACTAGACCCAACAACCTCAGTATCAAGTGTCCTCAAAACTGAAACTTCTGAATGGTATGTCTTTTCAATCTACATTTTCGCTGGATGCATATAACATGCCCATTCCAAACATTGGATTAGCAAAGCATAATAGTTGGAATGGTTCACTGAATACAATAAAACACAAACTCCCCAATTCTATTTAGCACTAGCCTAACAACTTCTTGTACTTTTCTTAAAGAAAATTAGGATGCCAACATTCTTACAGCATGCCATATGAAGAAAGAATTACTTGGCATAAAGCTGATAATTTTTATAAGTGCAAAAAGAAGTACATCAACTTGCAGTGAGATAAAGGAAAAAATGAGATGAAATTTCATAGTGCTTATCGTCACATTGTGGGCTGGTTTTTTAAGCATTGTGCATTTTTTTCCAGCAGATCTCATGCAATTCTATGGTGTTCTTGCATTTTTTGAATACAAAATGGCTAAGTAATGTTCAGCTTTTCATTGAGTAATCACGTGTTCAGTAGTCTACAACCTCCCTACCTTCAATTTGTTCCCAAGAAAAATCCTTCTTTTCATCCAATACTGCTTTTTTTCAGACTGGTAAGCATGGGATCTATGAAGACTTTAGGATATTGTAAAGATGCATAAAATCAAGTAATACCAAGAGTGATATTTTCTATTGTTTCTACCATTGAAGTCAAAATAAAAATAAATACATCAAAAGAAATTCAAAACTACCCTAAGAATAAGATTAAAAATGGATGCCTCTTTTACTAGCGAAAGAACCTGATGGGAAACTGCAAGGTATATTTCACCCCAACATTAATCTAAACCCTGAGAAGAGAATAATACTGCAGCCCAAGCAAGACAGAATATCTTCATTTAGAATATAAACATTGGAAACCATTAATGCTTATTTTTCAATATAATGAAGCATTATGATCCCCAAATTCTTCTGTGATTCGGCATTTTTGTCCAAATAGCAGAAGAATTCAGACAGAGCCCTCATGTGCAAAGTTTGTGCATTAGGCACATCAGAAATGGTAAAACATCATTTTTCCAAATGATGCATTCTAAAAAAACACAGACTAAAATACAAAATTGGTCGGATCTCCTTGAAAACAGGGAGGAAAACTAAGAAAGAAAGAAGAAAATTTTCATCTAGAAACACTGGGTAATGACAACAGTTGAAGAGCTAATACACTATTTGAAATTTTATGTATCCCACAACTTATTTTACCAGTGTCACCAACAATCTCTGCAATGGCTTATTTTCCTATATGTATGCATCTTTAATAGAATGACTGTGGAATCTCAGCATGTGAGTTGATAAAATAAAGCAAGGGAGGGAGAGGTAAAAATTTGGTAGAAGAAAGGAAATGAAGGGAAGGTAGAAGAAAAAAAAAAAAATTTGAGTGAGGGTGTTTCACAACACAGGGAAACACAGTATTCCCGTCTCTAACTTTCCAATAATTACAGCAGCTATGTAATTTTGTAATACATAGCTTTAGAAATTGCTACTGACTGAAATGAGATATATGTGGTTTGCAAAAAATGCAACTGTCCCAGGGATGGGTTCTACTTATCTTTACTACCGGTTCGCAACGGGAGCGAGCACGCTTCTGCGCATGTGCAGATCATCAATTCTGACATCTGGGCGGATGAACGGAGCCTCCCGTCGCTATTACTACTGGTTCTAAAGAACCGGACAGAACCGGGAGCAACCTACCACTGAACTGTCCCCAATGGTGCTTTTCCAAAAGGCAATTAGGCTTTCTTGTTTTTTTTTCCCTTGAATACATTTTGCTTCTCATACAAGAAACTTCTTCAGTTTCTGAGGTATTCTCACATCTCTGTTAAGGCCAAACTGTCATTAAGCTATCCCTCTCTCCACCCCACCCCTCAACCTTATCCTTTCATCTGCTGTGTTCCTGCCATACTTTTTACCAGCTCACCAGCCCATAATAATTAACTTCATCTTAGTATGCTGTACATGATGCAGTCCTAATAGCCAATGGTTCTACTGTAAGTAAAGAACATTCAGGGAATGTGACACACATAATGTATGTATGTGCATATATGTATCCATTGGATACCAAGATTAACAGCATGGAAATAATACTCTCTTTACCTCTCTCTCTCTCTCTCTCTCTCTCTCTCTCTCTCTCTCTCTCTCTCTCTCTCTCTCCCCCCCCCCCCCCCCCCCTCCCCCCCTCTCTCTCTCCCTCCCTCCCTCCCTCCCTCCCTCCCTCCCTCCCTCCCTCTCAGTCTGGGTTCCTGGAGACCACTTGAATAGACCCATGGAATTTTTTTGTCAGTCTTTTGAGAAATAGTTTCTGTTGCTTCCTTCCTAGGACTAATAGAAAATGACTGACCTAAAGTCATTCAGCTGAATGACATTCAGTCATTAATGCTAAAGCAGGACATGTGATGGATTGTATTAAGGAGTGGATTCCTAGGAAGAAGGAGGTACATTCCAGAAAAGTAAGAGGCAACTCAATCTGGATGTTATATGTGAGAAAAAGTGGGTGAAGATAGCACCTCCCTAATAATTTGCAAAGTACAACATAGATGCAGATAGTAGACTCCTCAGTCTTGCAAAACTTTGTCTCTATGTGTGAAAACAATAAAGAACTCATCTTGAAGAGTCACTAGGTATCATTCCTCGTATTGCACCTGAAAGGACTAGATATCTAGTTTCTAGCTAAGTGCCTTAACCACTAAACCAATATGCTTCTCTTTTATATTCTACATTCACACCTCAATACATTTATATTATTATGTATTTTGAAGCTCTTCTCAATCAAACTTCAGTCCTACAACCAACACTATCAACTCTATTATGAAATGGGAACTTTTAATTAATTTCTGCTTACAATCAAGGGAGAATAACCTTTCAAAACCTCAGATGCTGACAATTACAAGAAACGAGGTCAAGATGTACTTATTCATCATCAACATCATTATCAGTAGCAGCACATAATACAGTAACTCTTTTCATCTTGAATATTAACGCATCCTCTGCTACTTTCACATGGTCTCCTCCAAAACACTGGCCCCTGGAGCCCAAATCAGTGGTGCTGCAGACTGGCAAAATGAGTATAGTGAAGAAAACTTAAATCAACTGCAGAAACACTTAGTCTTGGATCTGTGGCTATGCTTAATTCAAACTTTAATATTGTCAAAACATATCCAGACTTTCTGTCCATCAATTCTGAGAAGAATAGACTCCATATAGCCACACCTTTTGCCTATTCTGTCAATATTACAAGTAGGCTGAACTACATAGGCTCAAGATAAAATTCCACAGAGCAGTTAATTCTCCTCTGCATTTACCCTGTTCATATTGCACTTCGATTAAGTGCTGGTGCTTAGAATTATCCTTGTATCTGAAACAGGCTGGATTTGATTTAAACCAAGTCAATTTAAATCATGATTTAAATCACTAGTAAAAAGGCTTGATTTAAATCAAGTTGATTTAAATCATAATTTTTAAAGAGCAACTGTCATCTCTGTCCCGCAGCAGCTCCTCCTCTGACCTGCTGTTGACTCACGACAGTCCCAATGTTGCACAATACACAGCTTCATGCTACATAACTAAGCTCTATTTCACGCTGAATAAACTAAATTATTAATATATCTTAAATAGAAAACTATCTTTAGATAAGATTTTTACTCCAAAAGCATTTTTATTAAAATAAATGTAATAAAAATTTTAAAAAATCTGATTTAAATATTAAAAAACCTGATTTAAATTTTTTTAAAAAAACCATCGATTTTTATCCACCCAGATCTGAAAGACTATCCCAACCTGGTTTTTCCCAGATAGTGGACTTCAGTTCCTACAGTGGCCAAATGAGTTCAAATGTAATGCAACTGAAAAGCATCAAATTATCATTATTAAATCAATGGCCAAATTTAGTAACTTCCATGTCTTCACCAACCGGATCCTTCTTACTTTTGCGGCAACTTCAAATTATCAGATAAGTGTCCTTACTGTTGCTCATCTAGCTGGTCAATGGCAAGCCCTAAAAACAGTAATTTCCCAGTAGTGTATTCATTTATTTATTCTGGATTCCATGCCATTCCATTCCCAGAGTCTCTAAGCAACTTATATCCATCCATAACTGTTTAAAACAATAATAATCCAAACATAGCAAAGAGTTTTCATTAGTTACATCATCCACTAGGATAGATCAATCCTTGTTGTCTCTAAATACTTTTTCTAAAGAACCGTGTTTTCACAGGTTTTGAGAAATCCAAATTGGAGGGAATGGTCCAGATACTGTACCTGGAGCAACCTATTATATAGAAAGAAGGCTATAACTAAAAACCTTTGAACAAGGGATCCCTACAGATGGCATTCACAAAGTGGAGAGAACCTTACGAGCATTGTCCTTCAGTTTTTTCCAGTCAGTTTCTGGAAATCTAGAGAAGGCAGATTCAAAGATGTCCAGGCCTGTTGCGAGTTATATAGGACAACTAGCATTTTAAATTATACCTGGAAGCCAATGTAGCTCCTTTACTAATAGAGTTACATGTGATCCATTCTATCTTCGTTCTTTCTTTGCTGCCGATTCTTTTATAATAAAACTTTTTTTAAAAAGGAAAAGAAAGAAAACTGTATCATCACTCTCGTGGGACAGTAGCCTAATTTTATATATATAGGGATGATGGGAAAAACATGAAAAATTCCATCAAGACAGAAACTATACACGTTCTCAGCCCTGGAGTGCCAAACATAAATTTTCTTAGTATTATTTCTGAACAGAAACCAAACACAAATTTAATTGGTTCAGCATCTCAAATTTCTAGAAGTTCCATAAGGTTATGGGAACAAAGGGGTAAAATGACTCTCAGATCATTATAGGCCTCGTGTTTGAAATAGGCCTTGCTGTTGTGCTTAATCTTGAGTATAACTAGAATCTTTTTTTAACTAAAAGTGTTTTTTTTTTTAAAAAAATGCTCTACATTCAGAATGATTTCAGCTCAAAACAACTGCTTCAAGATTGGAACAGGACTCTCATTCTGGAAATATCCCAAGACAGAAACAGCTTCATTTCAAGTGAAAGCACCAATTCCAAACTTCAAACAATTGTTTCCAACCTGAAACAATGTCCATTCAGTATGGACAGAGACCTAATTTGGGCTTGAAGCAATTGTTCTAGATTCAGAATACCATGTTTCCCCGAAAATAAGATCCTGTCTTATATTTTTTGAACCCCAAAATAAGCACTTGGCCTTATTTTTGGGGAGATCTTATTATTTTGGGGCATGTGGAGGAAACCAGAGGAAATGGCAGGGATTGGCTGTGCATGTGTTTAAATATTTTCGGGGAGGGCTTATTTTCAGGGGGGACTTATTTTAGTGCATACGCTCAAAAGCCCAATTGGGCTTATTATCAGGGGATGTCTTATTTTAGGGGAAACAGGGTAGTAGTTTTCAACCTCAACATGTTCTGAATTTGAAATGTTTAATATACATCTACTTTTTCTAATTTGTCATTATTATTACATAATACGATAAGAGTTTGTTGTATGCTGGTGTGCATAATTCCTGGAAGCATTTCATCTCAAATGTTTATCTGAACACAGGTCTTAACATTTTAGAAATAATCAATCTAAAACTGACAAGGCTTCTTTCAATATTTTTTGAACATGACCTATTTAATCAGGCTCTGTGTGTGTATGTGTGTATACGTATATATGTATATTTTGTCTGATTCTATATGAAAATTATTACAAAAAAGAAAGAGATGAATTTTTTTCAAAAGAAATTGATATTTTAATTGACTTCAAGCTTCAGTTTAATACAAATATTACAGATATTTATTTTATTTGATATTAACGTCCATATTCTGTTTTATCTGAATGATAAGATAATTTGGATAAGGAAAGGAATTATTTTGTCGGCAGAAACAATTGTTTTCAGCATTGTTCCTGAAAGATAAGAATTCTTCTAAGCTAAGCTTACAATTGCTTTCTTCTTATATTACATTAATTACATCTTTTTATGTTATAACACGTCACAAACAGTGATAAATCTGGCAAATTAAAATCTGCCTATCTCACTTGTCAGTCAGGTTAACCTACTATTTATGGGTATAATTGTATTACAAATTAAGTAATCTGTATTCAAAGCTATACATAATATTGTACACTTGCATACACACTCTACTGACATAAATCTGAAAACCTGCAATTTTAAATTCCATCCGCAAATTATTCTACAATGTATTTATGTGTTTATGGGTACTGTTCATAAAATTGTGAAATGCCTATTAGATTCTAGCCCTAAAAAAAAGAAAGAAAATGCTCTTTCCATTAGAGAAATGGCTTTAATTACATAGACATGGACTTATACAGATTTAGATAATTTGTAGTCAAATTTAATTTTTTTCAATGTACTGATCTCCTGAAGTTCTTAAACATAAGCATAAGAACACAGGTCCTGTTGGATTAGGTCTCTGATCAATCTAATCGAGCAACCTGTCTTTGCAGTGGCCAAACAACTGCACAAGGATATCTACTAGTCTCTGTTCAGATACCCTTCATATGTATTTACATTGCCACCAAGACTAATATCTGTGGATCCCCATGACTTCTATAAATTTGTCCCGACCTTTTATGAAGCCAGCCAAGTTGGTCGCTAGTACCACATCTGGAATAAATTTCTCCATCTGGGAATATCACTGGTAGTAGATACAGTATTTTATGTAGCAATACACTTATACTATCCTTGATAGTGGGTACTACATTATATTTTATTTTATTTATTCGTTCATTAATTCATTCAATTTGTAAAGCTGCCTGTTTCTCATTTGTGACTCATATATACAGTAATACTCATCCATTATCCAATATTAATTTCCATAGCTAACTCCTCAAATATCAGTACAAATAATGAAAACGTTTCTATTTTATCAAAAGGGAACTTTTTTTTTTCTTTTTACCTAGGAATAATCTTTTTAGTACAGAACATCATAGACGACTTACAGGGCAAGCCAAAAAAAGAAAATATTCTGCGTACCAGAGGTTTTACTATTTAGAAGAACCTCAAATAACATGATTGACCCATGCATTCAGAAACCCAGATAGTTGTTTTCTACTCATACCTTTGATCCTTTTAACATAGTTTTAACACTAAAAATGCAGTTCTTCAAAATTTAGGGCAAGGATTTACTAATTTCTCCTTTCCTAATGCTTTGAGCACTACAATAACAGAGCATCATATATCAAAAGTCCCAGGAAATTGAATTTCCTAAACATCTAAATCCTTAAAATAAGTAACAGCTACTATGAAAAGTTATCTTTCCCAGAATTCCTAGAATTTATATTGCTGATGTTACAGAATTTAAAGCAAAAAGAAGAGGTTAATGCAGCTAGTTTTCATTTTATATTACAGAGAAGTCTGGGAAAACGTTTTGCTTGATATAGACAAACTTGAGTTCCTGGTAAGTTAATGTAAATTTTAGAAATGAGACTGCTTAATGTACGATCTACCATAAAGCAGTCCATATATTTAATATGTGCTTTTATCCAAATACAAAAATGTTATCTTGCACACTTATTGGGGAAACATTTATGTCTAATTTGTGGAATGGTAGCCTAAATAGAAATGTTTTATTATACAAATGGCATTATCTGAATCATTTTGCTAAATTAAGAACTGTGGGGAGTCTTCACCACATGGGGATCATTATTTTAATAAAAAGAACATTTTTGTCCCTGCACTAGTTCCTCTTTTCCAAACCACAGCATTCTTACACCCCATTCTGGATTAATTTTAATGCTCTCAGAGCAATAAAAAAAAAGGCAAGCTCATTCAGTATGACAAACAAAAATTTCCAACAGAGAAGAGAGTACAAAAGACAGAACAATCCCATTGTCTGTAGGCATAAAAGCAGGGGCCATGAACACTTTATAATTTGCATTTCCTGTCACCCATGATTTGAAAATATTGGTTCACATATTAATATGGAAAACCAATTCAGAAATAGCGTCCATGGGAAACATAATAGAAGTGATTCTGTGTGTTCCATTTCTACCCACACATGTGCAACAGCAGGTTGTCAGATTATTTTCTAGTATTCATTTTTAAAATAACCACAATCACTTTAAAATGAAATGAAAAAAAAAAATACGAACCAATTCTCTAGGATGAAATGCTTCTTCTTGACGAAAAATTAGTAGGCTAACCGATCCACCCATCTTAGTGCTCCTCAGGAGAGAAACAACTTCTTCTTGGGTTTTTCCTGTTAAATCCACTCCATTTACCTAAAAGAAAGGGTGGGAAGGGAAATCTTAAAGTAGCCATAGCAAAGAATGATATGATGATAGATCAGCTAGTCCTGAAGGTTAACGTTCAACAGAGCAAGTATGCTTTATCATTGTTTAATGCTGAAATCTTGAACATGCCTTACTTGTGTATAAGTCCAATTCAAAATGTTTTTATTTAAGTTAAAAAATGGATCAGGCTAGCTCTCAGATCAATTACTCAGACACTTAAACTCCATCGCTGAGTCAGCAAACCGTAGATTTCATTATTACCTTAGTTATGACTGCTCAGCATTCAACTACAAAGCGAAAATGCTAATTAAAAAGGTAATTGCTTTTGCTCTCTTCTGATCTTTCTAGCACAATCTATGTTTACTCCTTGAGCTAATTTCCTTTTCTTTATGTAACGGGATTATTAGCTATTTACCCATCACAGGGATAAATAAATCACTAAAAGTTGCTAGATGTCTGTACTCCTTGAAGAAACCAAAATCATGACCAGGTTCCCCAATTACACCAAAAAATAATATGGTCTGTTTGGTTTTGGCTTAACATGTGCAGACCCAACGGTTAAATAAATTATGATTAAGCATGAGTGTGCCATAGGCCATAGTCCACAAGTAGGGTTATCAGCTTTCTGAACAGGCAAAGGAGGATTCAGATAATTGGAAAGGAGGCCAAATGGGGGAAAGAAGCCACACTAACAGTTTAACTTTCTTAGCACCTGTTACAACAAAAATTGGGGGGGGGGATGTTTAGGCCTATATGTATAGGAAATTACATTTTCAAGCACCAGAAATAATGACTTTTTAAATCAAAATATTTTCTAACAAACCTTTATTTTCAAGAACATATGCTAGTAATAAAATAGAATCTACAATGACACAATGAAAATTTTACTATAGAAACATGATGAGTCTACAAACTATAGTAAATACAAATTTTAAGGGGCTAGATTGAAGCCAACTCTTGAAATTAGACAAAAATAAATAAATCTAGGCTACCAAGTTTGTCAACAGACAAAAGAAAGAAGTATGCAATTATTTACACTACAATGCACAAAAGTTTGAATGACTACTGCCATGAAATAATCCAAAAGAAAAACAAAAATTCTAAGATACTCAAAACGTCAAACAATAATCAGGAGTCCTATATCACCTTGGACAAATTCTGTGCAGGCAAGCTGTTTTATTGATTAATCATTCTCACTCTAAGTAAATTCCTCCTTATTTCCAAGTTGGATCTTCTTCTGACAAGCTTCCACCCATTACTTCTTGTCCTGCCCTCAGGAGCTTTGGCGAATAAATCAAACCCCTCTTCCTTATGATAGCTCTACAGGTATTGGAAGACTGCTATCAGGTTACCCTAAGCCTTCTCTTTATTAGGCTAAATATATCTAATTCCCTTAGACTTTCTTCATATGATTTAGCCTTCAAACCCTTTATTATCTTTGTTGTTCTTCCCTGCACTCTTTCTAGGGCTTCAGCATCTTTTTTGTATCATGACCAGAATTGGATGCAGTATTCCAAACGTAGCCTCAGAATTGCAATTGAGAATTGAGCGATACTATCACTTCTCATGATCTTGATGCTATCCCTCTGTCGATGAATCCTAGGACTGCATTGGTTTTTCTGGTACCTGCACCACACCACTGACTCATATTTAAGCAGTGGTCCCCCAGGATATCTAGATCACAGGGCACAACTGTTGTGCCAGATACTGCCCATCCTGTATCTGCAGGACATCACTTTTCTCACCACTGAAATGCATCTTGTTGGGATGGGGCCTAATGTTCAAGTCTGTTAAGATGCTTCTGAATCTTGAGTTTATCTTCCCAATGTGTTAGCAATTACCCCCATCCCCAGTTTGGTGTCATCCTCAAATTTGATAAGTGTCCCTTCAATTCTCTTACCTAGATCATTTATGAGGACATTGCTATTGTTGAAAATTTACTAATACTGTAAATCCAGACCACATACATTTAAAACCAAGTCATGTAATCAAGTAAGAGCTAACCTCCAGAGAAAAGAAAATGCATTAATTCAACTATGATAGTCACTGCTATATACAAACCTCCTTATAGAAACTGGGAAAATGTTAACATACCATCATCTTCTATCATGGAACAGGGAATTCCATTAGCATAAATAATGCACTCATATGTTGCAATACTGCTAAATTGCCTGAGAATTTAAACCGTACTTAAGTAAATTTCACTGAAATTAAGTGCATGAGCAAAAAAAGCTATTGAATTTCATTATAAACTGGAAGCTGGCTCTTTATCAATCATCATAAAATACTTGCATTATTCCAAAACCAGCATGCCCAAAGAACAATCCAGATGCCTTTGTACACTGTACTATACTTTCACTTGGAAAGCAAAATCATAAACAGAATTTTCAAAAACTTCCACATGCAAATCTTTCTGTTTCTTGTTTCGTTGCAGAGGATCATGCAAAGCTTGACAGATTTAGTTAGTTCCAGTTCAGGGGGACTGATCTCATAGGCAATGAATATGTAGAGCTCAGAATAGCAATAAAAGCACAATTTAAACTGAGATACTTTAACCTGGAACCTTTTAGCTCTCAGGATTCTAAGTATGCCACATTTTTTACTAGTATAGTTTAGGAGACCCCGAAAGGAAGGGTTATACAAAGATCATTAATTTAAAATAGTTTTCTTTTTTTCTTTTTTTTTTTAAACAAAACTTTATTATTAAAAAAACATTTAAAACATACAAGTTTCTCTCAATCAAGAAACAAATTTACATATACAGTGTATAAACTTCACCTATTGACTGATTTCCATTATTTTATATACTTATATTATGTGTATTATATGTACATATATACAAACATACAGTAAAATATTTCATATTCTATCCCTCTGACTGCTGTTTTTTGTTGTATCAATTTCTTCTAGATTCATCTCTAGCCATTTCCTTTCCTCTGGTTTATCCATTGGTACCATCTATTCCATATTGCATAATATTTAGAGTCCTCCTTATCCTTTAACTCTAAAGTTAATTTATCCATTTCTGCGCATGCATATATTTTTTGTATTAGTTCCTGGTCAGTTGGCAATCGATCACTTTTCCAAAATTGTCCTAGCACTAATCTTGCCGCCGTGATTATATGAAGTATTAGATATTTTATGTCATTTCGGATGTTCTTTTTAATCATGCCTAATAGGAAAATCTCAGCTTCTAATTCAATTTCGTAATCTGTTATTTCTCTTATCCATATCCTTACCTTGTTCCAATATTTCTTAATTACTGGGCAAAGCCACCAAGCATGGTAAAAAGTTCCCTGTGTTTTTGTGCACTTCCAACAAGTCGGATTTACGTTTGGGTACATTTTCGCTAATCTTGCCGGGGCCAGATGCCACCAATACCACATCTTATAATGATTTTCTTTGTAGGCTACCGATTTTGTCATGCTGTAGTTTCCCACACTCTTTCCCAATTTTCTAGCTGTATACTGTGCCCGATGTTTTTGGCGCACGCTATCATCTGCCCTTTAACTAATTCTTCTGCCAAATCATATTCAAGTAAATACTTATAAATTTTCGAAATTAATTTCCCTTCTTTAGATTCTAATAATTTATCCAGTCTGTTTTGTTTCAAATCTATTCCCCCCTCCTCCTGATCTTTCCTGTATCTTGTTTTTATTTGTGAGTAGGGCCACCAATCTATTACTATTCCTTGTTCTTTTAATTCTTCCCTGGTTTTTAATTTACCCTGTATATCTAATATTTCTCTGTATCGTAATATTTTTTGTTTTGATAATATATTGGGGTGGGTGATTGCTTCTATTGTCGACAACCAACCGGGGACTTTCATGTAATGTTTACGTTGAATTTGTTGCCATGTATTAATTAAAGATTTCCTAATGGTATGATTGTTGAAATGTTTGTATGTCTTGTTTCCAGAATTCCAAATAAAGGCATGCCATCCCTTCATTAGGTCATGTCCTTCCAGATTTAGCAGTCTTTGATTATCCAAAGTTATCCATTCCTTGATCCATAGTAAACTGGCAGCCTTATAATATTTTTGCCATGCCGGGAAACCGAAACCACCTGTAATTTTGTCATCTCGTAATATGTTTAATTTTATTCTCGATTTTTCCCCTCCCACACAAATTTTGTAGTTATTTTATCCAAATTGTCAAAAAATTTCTTATCCAATTTTACTGGAATCGTTTGGAATAAATAAAGGAGCCTTGGAAGTATATTTGATTTTATCACTGCTATTCTCCCCAGCAAAGACAACCTTAGTTTCCCCCATTTATCTAAGTCTTCTTTGATTTTCTGAACTAAGGGTTCATAATTGTCCTGTTTTATTGTTGCTGTCCTAGCCGTCAAATGAATCCCTAGATATTTCACTTTTTTAACTGCCTGTAATTGTGTGTCATTTACTAATTGCTCTACTTGTTTTGTTTTCATATTTTTTATTATCATATTTGTTTTTTCTTTGTTGATTTTTAGGCCTGCTACTTTTCCAAATTTTTCAATTTCTTTTATTAACTTGGGGGTTGTTTCTATTGGGTCTTCTATGAAGAAGACAAGGTCGTCTGCAAAAGCTTGGACCTTGTACTCCTCTCTCTTAATCTTTAGTCCTTGTATTTCTTTATTTGCCCTAATTCTAATTAACAGGTTTTCTAGCGTTAAAATGAAAAGCAAAGGGGACAGCGGACATCCCTGCCTTACTCCTTTATTTATTCCAAAAAATCTTGTTGGATCACCATTTACCAATATACATGCTTTTTGGTCCTGGTATATTGCTGATATCATTTTCGTAAATTTATCACCGAAATTCATACTTTTAATTTGTTTTTTCATAAATTGCCAGTTTACTTGGTCAAACACTTTTTGTGCATCCAGAAAGATCAGGGCCACCTGTCTCTCTGAATGCACTTCATAATACTCTAAAACATCCATTACCATCCTTAAATTACTTCTTATTTGTCTTGTGGGCAAGAAACCGTTTTGATCCTGATGTA